GAAATCTCATTATTGCACACACTTGGATGTGATATACCATTAAAATGTATCTTGGTGGCCAAAATAGAATACAGTTTATAAAATTGAAGGAGATTAAATGGCTAAAAGGATGCTCTCTGAGATCTCACAATATTATATGCCCTCTCTCTATTAGTCTTTTGGGGAACTTTTCTATGATTCTAAATTCTTGTAAGTGCAGAGATGCCAGACCTTTTGGTGACTATATTCTAGGGGCCCACAGGAGGCAGGGTTGGTAAATATTTCAGGGCAACTGAAGAGATGTGAGGTGAATGAACACAACAGAGACCCAGATTACTTGAGAGGCTGTATTAATTTATGAGACTTGTTTCAGTGCATCCTTTGTAGACACATGATGGAAAGAGAGAAAAAGAAAGAGAGAGAGAGAGAGAAGCTGAGTGTAATGCCTCCCTTTCTGTCTCTAGGATTAAAAGGAAAATGGAAGGCACAGGCACAAGGCTGAATAGTAGTGGAACTTGAACTGCTGGTCATCTTAGCTCAACTGGGAGGACATCTTGAAGTTATTTGAAATGATCTTGTCATTAGCTTAATTTTAATACCATTATTCAGGAACCAGTGAAGTGATTAATTTAGTTTGTGTCTAGTTCAACCACTTCCGATTTTCCAACATGAGTACCACTGAATCAGGTAATAATAAATTTGTCCATGTGAGTGATGCCTGTGGGTAAGACATGTGTTTTCTGCTGAAAAACAAGTTGTTTCGTCTCTGGTAATTTAGCTCCTAAGTCTCTGATGTCAAGCTGTGATTTTAGACTAAGTAAATACTTCTGCTCTAGGGCATCCAAAACAGGGCTTTTCAGTCATACACACAAAAAAGAAATCATTGTAGACAGAAATGTTATTAAGATAAGCTGAATGATTTATCCAGGAATGTTTGAATATTTAAAAAATATACACGGACAGATAAACCTATTGAATAAATGGTAAAATGGTAGCACTGGGTGAATTTACAAACTCAGTCATGTAACACTACAGCTATGCTGATGACTTATGTAGCTCACTCTCCACTGCTTTCAGCTTCTCTGGAAAGGTGAAGGAAAGGCTGAGGAGGAAAGAGAATTTATTGAACACTTACTGAGCTCTAGGTACTCTTTAGGAGATTTACATAAACTATCTCATTTATTTCTCATGACAACTCTTGGAGGGATGAAGTAGTTATCCTTATATTAGGGTTGAAAATGCTGTGGGCCAAGGAAGTTAAGTGACTTACTAAAGCAACATAGCCTGGCAGTGGAAGGGCTGGGTCTTTAACCTAGCTATTACTGTATTTCTGTTCATTCTCTGACTCACTTGTATCTCATTTCCTTACAGTGTACTATGAATTGGGGAGATGGCAGTGTATAAGATAAGATTCTATATTCATGAACTTTACATTCTTATGGGGAAAAAGACAATTCCAGCAGTAGCAACCAATTTATGTAAGGGCTTCTAAATACACTATTGTAGGTGAAAGAGTTTTCTGCATGATAAAAGAGAGAATATAAAGTAAAAATAGCCTTTACTCCAAGGATATGGAGAGAAGTCCATGACCATAGATGGTCTAGCCACCTCTGACCTGAACATGGGGGATGGGATGTACATATAACCTCTGATCAGGGGTAGCACTTAGGGCGGGCATTGATGACATATGAGGAGCTGATTGGAGTTTTTCTCACATGCAAACAGGAAGGGGAGTTGCAATTAAGGCTGAGGAAGAAGCAGGAAGTGGTAGGTGGTCCTGCTTCGGGCTTCTGCCATGTTAGACCACCGCCATACTGTACAGTAATTTATAGTAGGGCAAGAAACTTTCATTCCCATCTTTGTATTGTTAGGAAAAGGGAAAACTCTCTCTGTTACTACTTCCTGCTGAAAGGGGGCACCATATTGGGGTTTAAGAAGCTTGACAGGATGATGGTTGATGCCCATGTAGAAGCTGGTACAAGGTGTTTTAGCAACACCTTGCTAGGACAACTTTATCATTGGTGAATGCCCACATCTTAGACTGAAAAAACAGACAAGGTGCTATGAGGAAGTAGGCTACTATTGTATTTAAGGACCCAGGTGAGGTAGAAGAAAAGGTGTCTTTAATTTAAATTTGCTGTTCCATCAGGACCATGGTAAGGTAAAATTCTGAAAAATAAGTGTGGATTTATGAGGAGTGAAGTTATGAGAGGTAATTATTTTCTCCATCTTAAAGGGTAAATGTTAAAAGTGTAGGTAGGTAGGACTCATCTCTGGTCCAGGAGTTGAGCTGAAAAGAATAATAGGCATGAGAAATATAAGGCCTGATTGAATCATATTTGGGAAATTACAGAGTAGAGGAAGGGAGGGCCATGGGAGCTAAGAGCCTAAACCCACAAGGATCTCACATTTGACTAAACAGCTGAGGGTAGAGAAAACTAAGACAGTTGTTACATAGAACAACATGAAGATGATCTTACGCATGATATGGTAGTCTTTAGAAAAGACTGCCAAGAGTCCTGCTGTAAAAAAATAATTAATAGAATGTAAGGAATTAGAAACCAAATTGGATAACAAAACATGACTTAGCCTGAGAGTTGTGGCTGTCAGGCCTTAATGAGACAGAGATAGGTGGGCAATAGAAGATGAGATGACCACTCAGGATGGTTAGATTCAGGGTTGGGAGGGCGCTGCTTAGCTTGAGTGATGTAGAACCAGGAGGGTAGTCTAGCAACCTTGACTACCGCTGAAGTTCTGAGGAAGACTGGCTAGGGGCCACTCCACTTTAGTTGTAGTCCTTGGGATTATTTCTTGTAACAGGACTTTAGTAAGTATATCAGAAGTCTCCCTGGTTGTTGGAAAGGCTTTTATCTTTCCTGAAAAAGTACAAACAAAAATGAGAAGATATTTGAGAGATTTGTGGCAGGGCATGTGTGTAAAATCTACCTGTCAGTCCTGACAAAGATTGTGTCCATGAAATTGATGAATAGGAAAGGAAGGGAGGGCATGGTGTGCCTGAGGAGAGGTTTTACTATAGAGATGATGAGGGTAAGTTGCTGAGACCTTAGAGTGTCTGGGTCAGTCTGAATAAACACGAAGGAATAAAAAAGGCATTTTCAAGATTTATGACTGTAAAGTGAGTGGTGGAGGGAGGGATAGGAGAGAGCATCGTATAAGGGTTTGGAACCACTAGGTGTATTTGGGTAATGACATTATTGATTACCCCAAGGTCCTGCACTAGATGATAAGACCCATCAGGCTTGAATACTGGGAGAACAGGAGTATTCTTGGGTGAATGGGCAGGTTTAAGAAAAACCTTGTCTAAAAGGCACTTGATTATAGGTTTAAGGACTCATAAATGTTTGGGAGCTATATGTTATTGGAAATGCAAGGAAAAATTAAAGGATCCCTGAGGTGAATTAAACTAGGCATGGCATGGGTAGCATGGGTGGGATTGGAGGTATCTCAAACTATGGATCAATCAGAGAAGAAGGGAGGGGAGGGGATGGCTTTGTGGCAACTGTGAGGGTGTTTGGAGGACTAGAGCTGCGGGGAGGGAGAAGGTAAAGGAGACATTAAGCTTTTGAAGAAGATCTTTACCTAAAAGGGGTGTGGGACATGTTGGAATTGCTAGGAAGCTAGGGGTAATGAAGAGAGTCTGGAACCTCCATGAGTAGGCCCTGTGTGCAAAGGCTGTGTAGGTTGGCTGTCAACACCCACTACAGAGACTGAGGATTTAATATAGCAGCCTGAAAATTCAGGAAGAACACTATACATGGCCTCCATGTCCACAGGTACAGAAAATGTCTTAACTGAGACCTCCAGTGGACTTGGGGCTCCGAGAAGGATATCTTAATGGAGTGCCACCAGTCTTCAGCAGCAAGTGTGAGTAGATCAGTCAGTGATGAATCCAGTGGTGATGAGATCTCTTATGAGGGCAAGGAGTTAGAGGATGGCTTATCCACTCTCTGGTGGCCAGGACAGTCGCTCTTCCAATGGTCCTTGAGATTGAAATAAGGGCAAGGTCCCAGAAGAAATCAGGGTTAGGACACTCTCTTGCCCAATGTCCTTCTTTGTTGCACTTGAAGCATGGTCTGCAACAATGAATTGTCTTAGTCATACGAGCTTTAGTTGAGGTGTCTCCCATAAGGCTATGGAGATTATTGGTGCCTCTGATTAATGACAAGAGCTGGTTAAAGTTACCAGGTGGGCAATTTCTTCATTAATTGAAGTCCTATCCAATGTCTCCTTACCCCAAGGGATTTTGTTTAGCCAAGTTGAGCATAGGATAGGTTTTCTGATGCAAGCTTGTGACTTTTGGGAATGCAAACGGAAAACCCCAGATGGTAGCTCACCTCTAATCAGTTAGGAAGGTCACTGTTGCATGCAGATTAGTGGCTGTAAGTAAACAGTCCTGGAAGAAGAAAAACACGGTTCTTGGGCAGGGGAGCTCCAGCTGGGAGGGATTTTTTAGAAGCTAAGGCACTCTGTCATCTGAGTCACAGGGCACCACTATGAAAGAGTTTTCAGTGGGATAAAAGAGAATATAAAGTAAAAATAGTCTTTACTCCAACACATGGAGAGGAGTCCATGACCATGGACGGCCTGGCTACCTCTGCCCAGAACGTGGGGTATTGGATATACATATGACCTCTGACCAGGGGTGGTGCTTAGGGGGGCACTGATGATGCTCCAGGAGCTGATTGGAATTTTCTTCACATGCAAACAGGAAGGGGTTGCTATTAAGACTGAGGAAGAAGCAGGATGTGGTGAGCCTTTCCATTTTGGCATTACGCCGCCCTAGAGCATCACCATAACCCTACAGTAATTTATACTAAGGCAAGAACCTTTCAGTAGGGGTCTGGATTTCAGTTCTGAGTGTCACAGGGAGTCAGTATTTCACTCCAAGGGTTACACAATCTGATCACACAATTGTGTCATCATTAATTTGAAAACTCTGATTTCCAGGTTTCAAAGGTGACACTGGATGATTTTTAGGGAGCTGAATTAAAGAAACAAAAGAGAAATCAGGGAGAAAAGGTAGGAAGAAATTGCCATAAAAGTGAGAGATGAGAATTGCACGGAGGGGTTGGTACCGAGAAGATGGTAAGAAGTGGTGAAAGGTATGAGGATTTTTTATTTTAGAGTTGTGCTTCTTTCATTATTTTATTGTTCTAAGCAGAGCGTTGCTTTTTCAACTATTGTGGCCTTGCTTTTATTTTTTTATGACCCACTTCTCCATCCTCAGGCCTGAGAGGGAACAGGAGGGTTAAGCAAGCCCAGTGTAGGGGAAAGGGGCTAAAAGGTCTTTATTCCTTGGGAAGATGAAACAGTTCAGGACTCCGACAGGCCCTGATGTTTTTGTCAATTGTCTTTTTTTTTTTTTAAATCCTGAATTGGGTTGTTCACCCTTGATTGAAGACCTTAGAAATAATTTTTAAAATGTGTTTTCCTTCATGATTTTAGTTTCCAAATCTCTGCCGAGAACTGGAAATGTAAGCCTTTATCTGCATTGTAATTTCAAAATAGATCAAAATAGCTCCTGCATTAGAACTTTCCCGGCACCAGGGAATCTGAACTAGTCATCGTAGGCCTGAGAATGAAATGTGCTCATTAACAAAGAAAATTGGAAATGAGGCAGCACTTTTCCATTAGCACGTTGCTTTTGAAACATTAATGGACCTTGCTCCTGTTCCAGAAACTATTAATAATTCTCCTTTTGGTGCCTAAATATGATACTACTGACCCACCATCAGTAGGGCATGAGATTTTAAAAAATTTTTAATTGTTTAGATAGAGCTGTAATGAATACCATATCAATTACAGTTCTTTCTGGATAACAGAAACTGACTTGCAGTAATTTAACAACAATATTAATAAAAGCAACAACAAATATCCAATTTGTTATAGGAGTGCCACTCTCTTCTCTCACTATTATGGCAATTTCTTCCCATTTTTCCCCCAATTTCTCTTCTGTTTCCACAAGTTAGAGCCCTAAAACAGCCAGAGTGTTCCTTTCAAAACAGTAACAATGCCTATCAGACTTTACTCTTCCAGGAGTGCTCACATTGTCAAAATGCTAATTTTTAAAATAGTTTCTTAACTATTAGCTATTTATCTTAAGGTGGAATAATCTAAAATAAATATAACAGAAACAAGGCCAACTTTATAAGATGTTTAACTCAAATATGCATAAGGCATGAATGTAAAGTGTTTGCAAAGCTAATATCCAAGTAAATGATAGCCAGGGGTGATGACACTTGCCTGTAATTCAAACAGTCAGGAGGCTGAGGCAGGAGGATATCTACAAGTTTGAGACAGCCTAGGCTACATAATGAGTTTAAGACCAGCAATTACATAGCAAGACCTAGTCTCAAAAACAAAAACAAAACAAAAAAGCCCGAGTAAGTTATAAGTTAATAAATACAGGAGCAATTTTCTTGTGATTATTAGAAATTTTGTCATAAAATATCGAAGTTTTTGACTAAATAGTCAATATTCTGCATTAAAATGCACGATACTGTATCTTTCTAGAAGCATTCAGGTTTGGCCAAAGTTCCTTATTGATTTGCGTCCCATTTGACACTGATTATTTTACATACCTATTGGTAAACTTTGGAATGAACAGATTGACTTAATGTTGCAGGTATGGGAATAAAATTTAAATTTCATCATCCGTGGCAGACAATAGCTGGGTCATGTATGACCTAAAACAGTATTAGATAATACGCAGTCTTCTAGTAATATATATGCACTACTCCATTTCAACTCTCACAATTCTAGAAAGTACTAGTGCTAGATGTGTTTCCCAGGCAATGGAGGCACAGAGAGCTGTGGCTACGGGTGCCACAGCCTGAGTAACTCAGAAGAATACCTGGTGGAGCTGGTTGGGTAACTGCAGACCCACGCCCTCAACTACACTAGGACATGTTCCTTCCTGTGGGCAAGACAACCCCAGGCAGCCTGGGCTCCTCACCACCTACTGGTTGGCCACCATGCCGCCTGTGGCTCTTCCCCTTGAAAGGGCACCCATGTATACATTTTAAAGTGAAATCACACACACACAATTCATGTGTGCATGTGCACACACAGAAAACATTAAAATCCCAATTAGGGAAAGGATGTAGAAGTTTAGATTTTAATATTCAGAATGCTCTGTCATCCCCTCTTTGTGGTTTAAAGCATTTCTTAGATTTCAACATCATTTGAACTTTTTGAAAACTGACATTTTCATTCTATCCAATATATACTCACTTTTTGAAGTCTGTAAAGGTCACTGCTTTCTGAACATTAAATTCAAGATTCTTTACACAGAGAGAACAGCCCTTCTCCATGACCTAACAAAAGCAGTAAGAATTGAACTACCACCTAGACAAAATTGAAAAAAAATCTAAGAAAATTGTTTTGCCTTACACCCAAGTCTCAAATCACAGCTTCTTGCTTGAGATATAATAAGTTCACTGTGCAAGAAGAAAGAAATGAAATGCTCTTTTTTAGGACTCAGCCTGTTTTTCACCTATGTTACCTTTACCTATAGTAATCTGAATGGATTCAACTGACTTTGGCGCAAGAACATCTAAAACTAGAAAAGTGATGATTAGCATTGTTGTAGTCAGGATTTACAAAGGAAAAGACTTAATACAGAACACATAATTTATAGGGTTATTTTATAGTATTCAAACAGTCAAATGCAAGAGCATGGAATATACACTAGAGCCTGGATCTCATGGCAATGTCCTCACAAGTCCAGTTGGAGGCCTAGAGACCACAACACTGTCTTATGCAAGTCTGTATCAAGGATCTGTGAAGGAAGGCCCAAAGGTCAGTGGTGGATTCTAGAAAGTCTGCACCAGTGGGATGAAAGATCTGTGCCACTGGCTGAGGGATCTGCATTGGAGCCAGGAAGCGACATCAAGGACCAGAGTGCCCCTGAAAAGAACCACAGCCATCCTCAATAACAGTAAGGGACCCAAGATCCTCAGATGATAAGAACAGCTGAGTTTGTATCAGGAAAGCCAGAGTAATAAGCTTCTCCAGGAGAGTCGACAGTGCACCATCTTCCCCTCCATTTCTCCTTGTATGCTGTTGGCAATAATCCTCAGCTGGGCCTTCCATGCCCAGCACCACGCTAATTCAGTTCAGCTGAATGTTACAAGTTAACCATTAGTTAATCCCCTATAAGTATTATTTATGTTGAATTGGCTTTTGTAAATATATTTAATTGTTTTTTTTTCTGAGCTTTCATTTTTATTTAGGTTTTTCCACTCTTGGCCTTTGTAAGTATAAAGCACTAGAAAGTAAACTTAGAAATATACTTGGAGAGGAAAAGAAAAAAACTGAGCTCTTAAAAAGTATAAAAAATGACCACATTAGATCAAAGTTAAAACTTCAGTATGATTGAGCAGCTAAATTGCAAGGTATATTATACTGTCGCATAGAATTGTAAAGAATGTTCTTTGTTCATTAGAACCATTTTTGCTTAGTAGGCTATAGCTACACAAAAGGAACTGACAATATTTGAATCATGTTAGAATCATTCCAAATCTGCTTTAGTGTCTGAAGGATTAGAGTTTACTGGTGTGTGGCTGAAACTTCTTTTGCGTTTGACTATATTTTATCCCTTACTAAGGAAACAATACTAGCTAAAGTAGTGGATTTATACTATCCTTTACCAGTTTGTAAGATGTTTGTCAATTTTTACCTACTGTGTGACGAATGATATGGAAAATACTCCAAGCTCTTTGAAAGAGAGATTCTATAAGGCTGAGTGGCTTCACGTTTACAATAGATCCTTGAGAAACTCTGTGATAGCTTATCGATGTGAGCCCAAGTAAACAACACCGTGTAAAACATACAAGTTCACAACTGGAGTGAACCTTGGTGTTCATTTAACTCAACCTTTCCTCTTTGCAAAGATGATTAGAACCCTCACTGACGGTTAATACAAGTGCTTGTCAAGAAGAGAGAGAAGCCGGAATCAGAGCTCTTTGTGGATACTGGAGTCTCTGACCCTTGAGATAAAGCCACCTTTTGCCCATGTGCCTAAGCCCTGCCTCTCATTTTTGGCAAGTATACAGATAACTCTAATCCACATCACATAGAAGAAGCAATACAATGGGCTAATAAGGCTGAAAACATCACAAAACTCCTGAAATAATGGTCCATTTTTATAGAAGAGGGAGCAACCCTTGCCTAGTCACCCAATAAATTAAAATATTCAGAAAACTGAATTTGGAAGTTCTGGCAACTACAATTGCCCCAATATTTAAAGACAGGTTTAAATATAGAGTATTTGTATTCTTCAAATGCATGTCATTTTAGAGTCTCATTCTGAGTGATTTTAGTTTGATATGCTATCAACAATTACAGAAACCCTGACAGGTTGAGTCATTTATGATCATCTCATTTGTAGAAAAGCTTCTGGTCTTTTGTATATTGTTTCCTTCTCTTTTCATTTGTGATTATGGCTATTTACAAAGTCTACTAAAAATTCCTTGATATATCATATTATATGACTGTACAGTCTTCTGTTGGATAAATGCTTCTTAATTTCTTAGCCTCTACTTTTGATACTTTTGATCACTTAGAGTGTTTCTAATTTGCTGCTATTGTATATTGCTGAGATTAGATTGTTGCATTATTTCTTTAAGGGGAGGAGAGATAATGGAAAATTTCATGTAGGACCTTCACACTGAACTACACGCACAGCTCATTTTTTAATTTTAAAACAGGGATTCCCTAAGTCACTGCTGCCCTTGGCTGCCCAGGGTGTTAGCATCACAGGTGTGCACCACTGTGCCTGACTTGTGTTATTTCTGTAGGATGAGCTCTTAGAAATCAAATTATCACTCATTGTGTAGGAAAATTTCCCAGGAACTTGATACAAGATTTCAGATTAGAAAAGTGTCTTTAGTTCAGAAAATTGTATGACTTCACAAGTCTTTATAAGTCTGTGATAACAGAAACTCTCTCTTTGGACTATTAATTTCCAAGCATCTTAACATCTTGGCTTAAAGGTACTCAGGCACTCAATAGATATTTTTGCCTGAATGATATGTGAGTCTGCTTTAGTTATACTGATTTATTCTTAGATGAGCCTGGAACCAAACTATCAACAGAACATCAACTTTTCTTGAGTAGTGATAGGGTTAGATAAGAGAGAAAGAAAGAAATCTACTGTTCATATTTTTTGGTTTTTTTATCCTTAGTCCAAAGATAAGTCTCCAAGGACTTCAAATAGAATTTTTGTTTTTGTAATCCTTTAAAGGACTGGTTGACTATGAACTTTGGTAAATGATAGTAGCTGTGGCAGTAATGGTAGAAGATTCTGTGTGCTGTATGATGAGGGTATAACCAGAGATTCATCCTTCTCCCTTACCAGTGCAAAATACTATTTTGCCCACCTTGACTCTTGGGTATTATTTCTCAATTCCTTCAATTTTGTACCACCACTGAATATAGTTGCTGTTAGAATTTGTAACTCGAGCTTTGACCTACATACATAGTCACAGCAAATTTGTCTCTTTTAAAAGGAGTATTTGTTTTGCTCAAATTGCTTATAGAATTGTGAATTGGAATACTTAATAATCTTTGAACTATGACTTTCTTAAGAGATCCAAGTTCTTAACACTAGGTGGCACCATTTCTTTCACCATTCATATTTCATTTTTTAAATCATAAGCTAGCATGCTTTGCTGACTACTCCTTTGGGATATTTGTATTTTTCAATAGATTCTTAAGGTGTCCTGTTGTATTCAAGATATTAGACTTTTATGCCTAAGTGTTGCAAATTTTTAATCAGTTTACTTTTTAAAAATTGCTAATCCAACTTTTATTTATCTTGCGTGAGATTTGTAGAAGTTTGACATTTTTATACCACCAAATCTATTAATCTTTTCCTTTATGTTTCAGGTATTATATTTATATATCACATCAAGACCATAAAGGAATTTGGTATCTGAGTAAGGGATGTATTTGTCCTTTACGGAGAAGGTAACTATAAGAAATATTATAACAGTTGCAACATATCCCACATACAAAATTAAAAGTTGTGTAGTTATAACATGTTAATTTCCATTATGATGTGACTATATTCTTCATAAATTCACTTAATTTTTCACAGTAGAATCTACTTAGTGTATATGGTATTGGAATGAGTTATTTACAATATAAACATCACGTTTCTAACTTGCAACTAAGATTGAGAGTGTTAGAAATCTCTTCTCTGCCACTGTCTTCTCTACACAGAAGCTCTGAAAGGCATAATCTGACACTTTCCTTCAGGCCAAAGGATCTCATTAAAAAATTCTTTTTCATTTGCTTTGCACTCTTCCAGATTTTTTCTAAACTTGCATTTCAGGTTAGTAACTTTTTTTTGAATGCTGGAGTTGAACTTAGTTGATATGACAGTAATGTTACAGTGGATAATCTATAAAACTCAGTTTTCCTTCTTTAGGGTTTTTTTTTTTTTTTTTTTTTTTTTTGCTTATTTTTAGTATACTTGACTGAAATTATGCTGATAAATCATTTTTAATGGATTAAATATTTGTGTGCCCCCCCTTCTTTCATACACTGAAATTTAATCTGCTCTTTGGAGGTGGATTCCTTGGAAAGGATTAGTCCATGAGCATGTTTTCATTATGAATGGGATAAAAGTGACACAAAATAGAACTCAAGAAAGTCATTTGCCCTTTCTACTTGAGGACACAATGAGAAGACAGCCATTTATTTCCAGGAAGAAAGCCCTTGCCAGATATTATATCTGCTGACACTTTAATCTGGGATTTCCCTGCCTCCAGTACTAAGATAAATGAGTGTTGTTTAAAAGCCACTTAGTCTATGGCATTTTGTTATACCGGCTCAAGTGACCTGAAGCCCTTCAAAGAGAAATTGTATCATTCCTAAAGTCTGGTGCTGATGGAATGGCCTTTAGTGATTTTGCTCATCCATTTATCCATTCAAAACATATTCTTCAGGGTTTTCCAGGCTCTGGGATTATGATGGCAAATAAGTAGATAAGGCTATAACTATGTGAATATTAAAGTCTGAGGGGAGGTTCAGGTAAGCATGAAGCCCATCCTAGTCATGGTATTCTGTATTCTTTTTAAAGACACAAATATGAACTTATAGAAGTATATAGCAATGTATGCAAACATAGGCAAGGATCAGAAGCTAAGTTCTGAAGAGTGGTTAGAAGTTATGCAGAAGAACACGCAGTATGAACTTTCCATGCAAGGAATCGGTTCACTAAAAAAAGTGGTAGCATAAAGGATTCTAGCATATTCAAAAGAGACCAGTGTGGCTGAAGCAAAGGAATATTACGTAAAAGCAATGCAGTGAAGTAGACTAAACCTAGACTAGACCCACTTGGACACATAAAGATGCTGTCCTCAGTTCCAAGGAAAATAGGAAATCACTGAAAGGCTGGAGGGGGGTGGCAGTTGACATGATAAATGCTGACTGTTGTACCACTCAATATAACTGGTGTTCAAAATGGATTAAACCGAGGCCGGAGTGGATTATGGGAATGCGCTAGGGCTGTCGGAACCCTGAAGAGTTGTGATGGTAGCATAAACTTGGAGTGATGACTACAGGGTGTAAGAAGTAGTTTTAAAATGTGTTGAAGCAGTGAGATGAACATAGTAAGGAGATAGATTTAAAATAGGGCCGAGACAGAGGATGTGTCAAGGATAGCTCATAAATTTAGTTTTTGCTGCTAAATGGGCAGTACTGTCACTCATTAAGGAAGTGCGTTGTGGAAGACAGGCAGAAGAATGTAGGTTACATCTAGAGTATGTTGCATTTTGAGATCCCTCTAAGACATAAAAGTGGAAATGTCAAATTGGCAACTGATATCAGAACTGGAATACAAGGAAAGATCATGGTAGCAGATGTACATTTGGAAATTATTAGTCCATGTCTTGAGGAATCAGGTCCAGGAACAACATGAGTGGACATGATGGAGATTGTAAAGAAGAAATTAAAAAGTGGGAAAAGGAATAAGTTCTAAGCTTCGGCCATGAGGAAACTCAATACCAAGTGCGTGGGCAGAGGAGCAGGAGCCTGAGACAGTGTGTGAGGAGCAGCTGAAGCAGTAAAGGACATCTAGGTGAGTGTAGCGGCTAGGCATCATCAGCAGCCACGTTCTGCTTGTAACTCGGCGAACCTGATCATGGCTGTTGAACACTGGGAAGACATTTGATCTAAGTACAGCTATTCTTCAGGCTAGTCAGAAGCATATGAGTTTTTCTGACACAAATACTCTTCCCAGCAGGAGCTCTCTACTGCACCGTGCGTGAATGAACAACTTGGATCCTCTGTCTTGGAGATGTTAAATGCCAAAAATGCAGGAGAAGGGAGTCCTCAGCAGAAAAAGCAGAAGCCAGTAACTTTCATGCAGAGTGGAGCTGAGATGCAATCATGGCAGAGTGGGAAACAAGCCCCTGCTATCCAGGAGAAGGACATAACCTGGTATCTGAAGTTATGTTGAATTCTAAACAAGCTTTCAGGCTCTGAATTTTTTAACTTCTTTGTGAAGCCAAAATACCTGGCTGTTTATAAGTTCTTGTAAACACAGGCTACTTGGTGATCAGGGTCATCATTCTTATTGTAGTATATATCCCACAAAAACAAGTATTACAGGGGAAACTTACATTTGCCCCTTATAACTTAAACTGCCGGTATTCTCTTGTTCTGGTCTTCCCAGGCACTTTTATTTTCTCATGCTTATTTTCAGATGGACTTCATCCACTCAGCCTCTACCAGCTTCACTCTGATTACGTCCACATGTATTGTGCAGAGTCTTTCATGTCCAAACTCTAGCAAAACTCTTAAACCATTACCCATTAGTTCAGCTGTGGGAGTAGTTTTGCATTTAAAGAAACATGACCCAAACAGGAATTTTAATCTTATCTCTTTAATGAGCTCAAGCACTTTGTACATATCCTATCTTATCAAAGTTTCTACCCTCTTGGATTCTCTGGCATGTCTAAACTCCAGAATGGGTCTTGCTCTATAAATTTATTTTGCATTATTTAAAAAAAATAGTAGCATATGTTTGTGATGCATAATAATTACAAATTCCATTTGACCAAAATATACCTCATATCTTCCCCAAAAGAGTTAGAGTCCTCATATTACAGTCACCCTCCTAATTTCAACTGTGGCAGTCCCAAGTAGTGATTACCAGAGTCTTTAGCTAGGGTGAACAAATACCCTGGTTTTTTATTTGTTGATTCATCATTATCATTAATAGTGCCCCTGCCGCTCACAAGTGCCTCAGTGTAGACTGTAACTTTGTGGTTACTCGCGCTTACTGTTTCATCTCTGGTTCCAATAATTTCCAGTAAACTCTTCCAAAGTAACCTTTAATCTAAGTTCTCTCTTTTATAATGCTCGCAGCTCCCACATTCTCCTTGTGTCTTACAAACTTCCTATAGGGAGTGTACTCTACTCTGATAGCTTATCTCGTAAGAATGCATCCGTGCATCCTTGTTCTTGCTCTCCTCAGAGATTAGAGAGGAAGCAAACTGTGAGCTCCTACACATTAATAACTTTATCTTATCACATTCTGTGTATCCTACACCCTGGTATCTTCCTTTCTGCAGAAATATTGGATAGCTCATGGCTCCCCTTACTGAATAAAGTAAGTCCTTTCCCAAGGGTTAGAGCACAACTTTCTCATCAGTCCCAGGATTTGGTAAATGGAGCCACCCATATGGCTATGGATGAAAGTGAAGGGTCTGAGGTCAGACTTCCAGGGTGTGAATCCTGATCTCATCATTCACAAACTTCCTGCCCCTGAGCAAAAAAATTAGGCTCTCAGGAGCACTCTCAACTATTAGTATTGTAAAGATGAGAACAGTAGGTACCTCATAGGATCATGAAGCTTAAACAAGATGATATACACAAGAATTTAATCTCCAGCACATTAGAAGTGCTCTCTATATTAGTTATTATGCTTTTCTCATGCATGAAGTTCATCCTCTTTTAAAACCATTTTTAAATTATCACTGCTGTCACGGTCTTATTTAACACCCTCTAGATTGTTTGCCCTTTCCGAAGACTTAGGTGTATGTTTGCCTTTTCTCTGAACCTGAACCCCATTGTCCAAACACCTTTACTCCATGGTTCCATACCTGTTGAGATCCCTTTCACCTTTGCTTCTTTGTATCTTTGCCCACTGGCAAGAGAACTAATATGCTTCAGTGTACATAGCAAGGTTGTGACTTTTGTTTGCAGGTCATGGTCTCCTCCATTTATCACTAATCCTTGTGGCTAAATAGGAGACCCAGCATTAAAACTTAGATCCTAGAATTCATACTTTAACCATCATGTCTCACTGCCTCTTTAATAGCAAAGAACTAGTGTCTGCCAAATTTATACTAGATCATGTTACTTTTTTCTAGTTTGAGCTCTTGATACAAATAAAAAATACGTCATTGATCTCTTCGTGTATCTCATTAAAATTCTAGTTAGTCTCTTGACATTCTTAAAGACATATATAGTAAAAGATATATAGTGATGATGGTAAGGCTAGACAGTGTGGAGTAATTCCCTCTGAGTGAAATAATCTCAAATACAGAGGGGTTTTTTGGGTGTTGTTTTGTTTTGTAGGTATTTCACAACCCAGCTTTCCAAAAAGAAGGACATGTCTTCCCTTTGAGAAGAAAGATCTGACCTAGAAGAAGAAATACAATGGACTGAAGAACATTTTTCTAGGGACAACTTTATATTATCAAAAAGGTAGCCTGGAAAGCTCATTATGACTGCAGCTGTAAAATTCACGCCATGTATAAAATGAGCAAAAGTTCCGGAGTATTGCTAGTCACTAGTTCAAAGAGAAGGGAACTGCTGAGGACACGTGCCACTCAGAACTGATAGAAAAGCTTCGTCTAGATGTACACAGAATCAAACCCATGAAGTACGGGCACTGTAAGAGACTGTAGCTTTCACCCTGTTATGGTCCATCAGCAGCTCACTTTGTAGCAATATGAGACTCGGGAGTGGGCAACCTAGTTATAACACATCAGTTCAAGAAACAGATGCCGTGCTCGCTTCGGCAGCACATATACTAAAATTGGAACGATACAAAGAAGATTAGCATGGCCCCTGCGCAAGGATGACACGCAAAGTCGTGAAGCGTTCCATATTTTTATATAAAAATATGTGGTAATCATGATTCCCCATATATGGCCTTGAAGCCTTATAAAGTTTTCACTTATTAATTGGAAAAGCTTTATTCTGGGCTTCTTGATATGGAAATATTTGAAGCTATAGCATATGAAGTTTTATTCAAATATTTCAAGGAAAAAGATAGACACTATGGTAACTACTATTAAGTCGAGTTATTTGGTGGTAAAGCACTAGGTTGCTGAAACAGTCATGCTTTGACCTGTATTGTTATATTGTTATGTCCTCTTTTATCTCAATCTCTCCCTTATTCATTAAAAAAATTATTTAGTTATTTTTTATGTTTTTTTTAATTAAGGGGAAAAATTAAAAAAAAATTAGCAGGATATATAATAGTAACTTTTTTTGATTTCCTATTAACTTGTTTTGAAGTCCTGTAACACTCCCACTATCTTGTTTTGACTGATTAGACTCTGTTCCATCCTGTATGATAGTATCAAGTTCGAGGGTATAGGCAACTACTTTGAAGGCAATAAGATTCACTAAGATGCCCATTCTGGTTTGACTATTGTCTCCTTTGGAAGTCCTGTAATGTTTACAATGCTTAAGTTTTATTGGTCTTGTTCTCTACTGTTTTGTTCAACTTTATAATACCTAATGAGATAGACAATTCTTTTTAAGGAAACAAGAGACATTATGGTAACCATTGTTGATAACCTTGTACTCTGTTTTACATCATGTGCTATGTCTATCCTTGGTTTTGACTGACAGCTTTGTTTTGCCATATTTGACTTTATTCTCCCCCCCCCAAAAGTAATAAAAACTAAGGAGTAATAAACCCCCCCCAAAAAAGAAACAGATGCCATAGATAGAAAGTCTGTCACTGGTAACAAAATGGGTGCTTTTCTTTTGTATTCCTTTAAGTCCTTAAAAACCAAATGAATTGGGCATACTGCCTGCCACAACATCCCAGTAAGCCTCAAGAGTCATTGCATTTATGAATTTAGAACAACAGGTTACCAAATGTAACAATTTACAAAAGACTGTAGATGCTTATTCTTTTATCATGTAATACAAAACTAGATTTTTAAAATTTTAGATGCTCAGAGTGGAGAAGAAAACCACAAAATATTTTATCTCACTGGTGGCATAAAAAATTCAGACTCAGAGCTTCTGCACGAAGGTAAAATTTAATATGCCAGGATAAAACAATACATCCTTTCAGACATTCAGACTTGAGCGATATTTAAAGTTAGCCAGTAATAGGTAGATGGTTCTATTTCAAATTGCAGTGATTAAGTAATAAGGAAAATCTTGTTCTAAAATGTCAGTCTTGGTACAGTCATTCCTCAGAGACAGTAGCTGTCATAGAAACGTCTGAATGGAAAGGTTGTATCAGAGGAAAACATGAGCAATTTTCTTAGAAAAAGTTGACTGTATCCTGTCTCCTCGCTAAATTACTTTGTCATAGAGAAATAGCTCAAAGGACCTGGCATTAGCTGCTGTCATTATTTGTTTCTTCACTAGGATGTAGGAGAGGAAGTAAAACAAAAAAAGACAAGCCCTTGGCCATGGAAAATCCATTAAAAATCGCATGATTTTAGATAACAATGCTTTTTCTTTCAAAACTCTTTGTAGTAAATTATTTGCCCCATTTAATGAAAAAAAAAAACTTGTTTACCTTCTGCTTCTAAGCAATTTGAAATATGAGTGATTGACTTTATATGAATGCTTAGACCTTTTTATTTCCTAAGTTTTCACTCTAATGATGATAATAAGCAGCATAATTAACATGCTGCTTATTATCACAAATGTTTCTATCTTGAAGCCCTCGATAATAAATGTAGCATGAACTGTAAAGTGTGTATATGACTGATTTATATTATTGGTACCACTTAATTACATTCCTCTTTTACAAAGCCCTTTACTAGAGAGCTTCTCCACTTAAGAGCTAATCTGTTTCTCAGATATCAGCAGCTGAGAATTCCAAGAAAGAGAATGGTTTGATGTGAGGAAGGGATGGACTTCTTGTCCTTAAGAGTATGGCAATTATCCCCTTTAATTCTATTTCTTGGCAGCATTCTTCAGCAAAGGACCTGTATTTAATATTTTCTCTTGCAGCCTTTATGGAAGGAAGGTTACTTAGACACATGCAAAAAAATCAAAGTCATGCTGGCCTTGTTAAAAGATGGAGAAGACTCATACTTCAACTTGCTTACCAAAATTCTCAGTGGTGAAGCATGTGGGCTTTGGAGTCATATCTGAGTTTAAAATTGAATTGCTTTACATACTAGTTGTATAACCTTTGACAAACCATGCAAGGTGAACTTAAACAACTAGTAAGGGCTGAAATTAGTGTTAGACTTCAAGTTATAGTATTTATTAGATAGAAATGCTCAGGCCTAAAACATATATATATATATATATATATATATATATATATATATGATTGAAAAAAATATATATATATGATTGAAAATATATATATATATGATTGAAAATACATATATATATATGATTGAAAAGTTCATGCCTAACATATTTATATGTATATATATGTGTGTGTGTGTGTGTGTGTGTGTCTAACTATACACAGATTAGACCACAGATAAATTAAAGGGTATTTTAAAAGGACACATAGAAAAAATTATGGTGCTTAATTTTTCCATTTTCATTCTTTCAAAAGATGTTGCAAACCTTAATTGTAACTGTATATAACTGCACCATATGTCTATGTGTGTTGTACTTCTCATTTTTTTGAATTTCATGTATTCTTTAGCCTGCTATAACTTGGTCCTTTATTAATCATTCTACTGGAAATACTGCTATCAAACAACGATATCCTAACTGTCAAGTTGTATCATTGATATTTTCTACTATATCTTATTTAACTTTTTCATAACATTGATTGTCCTTAGCAGTACTTTTTTGACATTATTTATGGATTTTTAGGACTTGACTCTTAACTGGTTTTCCTCTTTGCTCTCTTAGTCTTCAAAACTACGTTCTAGGATCTGAATTTCTGTTTCTGTGCTTAAATTTTGGCATTTCACAAAAATTCCTTCACCTTCTCTCTCTTCATACTTTCTGTAACTAGTCACATTCAAACTCGTAGCTTCAATCACCATCACATGCACTGATGGCTCACAAGTGTCTCTCCAGCATATGACTTTCTCCTAAGATCTGGCCCCATGTTTTTCCCATTTACTTGGCCATATCCAGGTCAATTTGCCATAGGGATTTCTAAGTTGCTGTATCCAAAATAGGAGTCACCTTTCTTGCTCCACTCAAGCTGGCTCATCTTCCAATTCTTCCTTATCTTCCAAATTTCTAAATCAAGGAAATCCTTTACTCACATATTCTGCAATTTGAATTGTGTCAGACATTCTTTTTTGATACCCGGGATCGAACTCACGACCCTGCGCTAGCTAGGCAGGCACTTAAGCCACTGAGCTTAGTCCCTAGCCCCATCAGATATTCTTGATGCCCGCTCAAAAGCTATTTTTGGCTTTTTTCTTGATAAAAATAAATTTATTTTGTTCAAATTATTTATGCATCTAGTTAAAAAGGAATAATTGAGTTGATTATTTAGTGATGGCAATCCTGTATATTTTTTGCCAGAAAATTCATTTCTCCATTCTTTTCTGCTCCTAGTAATGGCCATTTGACTTATATTTGACCCATGAAAACAAATGAAATGACATCAGGTGGTCTTTTGGAGAGCTTTTTCTGTTTGATAAAATTGAAAGGATGTCCAACATAGGCAGGTGGTTCCTGCCTATCATCCCAGCATTCTTGAAAATTTAGTGGCTTTCATGAGATCCTCTCTGAAAATAAAAATTTAAAAGAGCTGGCATATAGCTCAGTAGGAAGGATGAAATTTCAATGCCCTGTACCACCAAAAAATAAACATTAAAAATAAATTTAAAATGGGGAAAAGCCCAATTTATCCTCACCCCTTTTCTCCTAGTTGGGGTACTGTCATGTGAGATCATGCTACTTGGGCTGTGACAGGAATCTTATTACTATACAGGCAAGTCTTAGGAAGAATGCTAGTAGGCATCAAAGAATACAGTGCATGAAATGAAGGTGCAATTCCTAGGTGAGGGGCTGTAGCATGCTAAACAACACAAGAGTATCCAAAGTGCTGAGAAAAAATTAAAAAACCAAAAAGTCAAATTTTGCCGGTTATGGAGTTATACTCTATTCAACTTTGTGCACAAAAATTTAAGAGAACCAGGAAACTTGGTGGTAAGCCATAAATATAATTAAATGGTTGGAAAGGAAAGTCTGCAA